TGGTCTGGGAGTCAATTGGAGGCGAGATATTCAATACATTACTCAAACATTTGAGAATTAAGGGAAGAGTTGTAGTGATCGGTAGTATTAGTGGATATACGAGTGGTGTGTCCACTATTACCGGCAATTTGTCACAATTGACTAATAGAGTAAGCCATGAATTCTAGTGAAACTAAGATTGGATTATTAATTATTATAAATTATAGTTAATACTGAAGTCAAACTCATTGAACGGCTTTTTATTGACGCAATACACCGAAGAATTTCCAAAATATTTACCAAAATTAATGCAAATGTTAGCAAAGGGTGAGTTGAAGACTGTATTGGATTTTGGGGACAACACGAGTGGCGGACGGTTCGTTGGTATCGACTCTATACTGAGGGGCGTTGAGGTGAGACCATTCTAGTGACCAAAATTAACTATGCTAACAGAGAATTGTCATTATAAGAAATATAGATAATTTATCGTAAATGTGTCGCCAGCGTCATTACCGTTTCAACACCAGTTTTATGTTCTTGGTATTTATTTTTTAGTCTTATTTTGTGTTTAAAATTAAAAAAAAGAATTATTGGTTTGTTAATTTTAAAATATAAAAATCTCCTGGTTTTAATAAACTAATGCTATTTAAATGTAGTGCCTTTAGATTTACACTAAAATACTTAATAAACAGACTGAAAATCACTTTAATCAGTTTGTTGTCATATAATTATTAGCAATGACTAAACAAAAAAATATATATTTTGTATATTTTATATAGATATTATAAACAATTAACTAAATATTAAGAATTAATAGTTAAAATATGATTTTAATATACCGTACTTTTTATAACCATACATTTATTTATATATTGTATGTCTATGACATTTAACACAATCTTTATCAGTTATATAATTTTGATAAGTATTAACATTAAAGTGTTTTACATTAAAGAAAATAGACACAACCAAGGCTGTATTTATTCGCTAAATATTATCACTGTTTATGAAGAGATAATCAAATGGTTGGTGTTTCCAAAATGAAAACCATAAATGCTCTATGAAGTAAATTTTTATAATTAATTTGACTTATAGAATTTCATTCCAATCATTATACTATGAATAGAAAAGGAAATTTTATTTTAAAAGGAATTTATATTGAAAAGACCTGTCATATTTTATACAATTGTGACTAATTTTAGAAAGAAATCAATATTCACGGCTTTACACGGTTTATAACAATACTGTAATTGCTTATTACTGTTCAAATTTTCAGTACATTCTTAAAGCAACTATTATACATACATTATTATCACTAACTAAAGTGTACAGTATATCGGTTAGACTGATAACAGTTATGAGACTAGTTTTCAAGGATTTGAGTGCTATTCAATCATAAAGGCCCCTGCAAATAACACTCAAACTTAGCTATGTTGAATGAAAAACTGCACTGTATATAAATAGCAGACAATTGGATGGCATTGAAAGTAATTTCTAAAGTGACTGTTAGTTTGTAACTGGTGTTTAGTTTTATTGTACTGTATTTACAACACATATTGTATATAAATACTGTATTGTCTGTGATTTTTATATAAATTCTAAAAACAGTTCTAAAAGTTGATAAAAATGTCGAAAACATATAAGAAGTTGTCATGCTTCAAGACTACACCAAACTTTCGGGAAGCCGTCAAAGTAGTGGACACACCTCTTGTTCCTCCCACTGACGACCAGATCCTCGTCAAGAATATCTACGCCGGTGTTAACGCCACTGATGTGAACATAACTGCCGCCCGTTATTTCACTGATGGAAAGCTACCTTTTGATGTCGGACTAGAGGTTATTCAATGAATTTGTATTCAATTCTTGTGACAATATTCTTAATTCATATTTTGATTGAGTATTTCATTTAAACTTTATATTAATTGTATTGTATTGGCAGGCATTGGGTGTTATAGAGGCTGTTGGCAAGAATGTGAGCACTCATAAAGTGGGACAACCAGTCATTGTGTTTGGATTAGTGCCCAGAGCTTATGCCGAGTATATGGTAATTATGAATATATTTTAATTCATTAAAAAAATTCTAAATATTTATATTGAATCCAAAGTACGCCAAACCCGATGAAGTAATTCCAGTTCCAAGTCTTAAACCCGAGTTTATTTCGCTTCTGGTTTGTGGATTAACCGCAACCATTGGTTTGGATGAAGTATTTATCAATCTGTGTTTTTGTAAAATTTATTTATTTAATATACCGATTATACAATAGAGCGGACGTATTCAAAAAGGTGATAAAGTGCTGATTACAGCCTCTGCAGGAGGAACCGGTCATATTGCGGTCCAATGGGCTAAACAAAAGGGCTGTTATGTCATAGGCATGACTTCATCGGAAGAAAAGGCAAAACTGTTGAAAGAGTTGGGAACCGATCGAGTGATCAATTATAAGACCGAGAACTTGGATGAAGTGCTCACTAAAGAGTTTCCGGTTTGACACACTTTTTTAATAAAAAGTTTTTGCTCTCAAATGTTATGACCGTAACATTTATTTAACAGAAAGGAGTGGACGTTGTTTGGGAGACAATCGGAGGACAAGTTTATGAGACTTTATTTAAGCATTTGGCACCAAAGGGTCGTATGGTTATAGTGGGCGGTATCACTGGTTATAAAACTGATGGCATGCCTGATGTAACCATTTCCAATTTGCCGACCAAGGTAAATTAATAATAAAAC